GCTCGCGCAGAGTTCGACCACATGCTCCAGCTTGGTATCATTCATCCATCCAACTCCCCTGATCGTCCCCACTGCACATGGTACCCAAGAAAACCCCCTGGAGATTGGCGTCCTTGCGGTGACAACAGAGCGCTCAATAACTCCACCATATTCGACAGATACCTCATTCCACACTTGAATGACTTCGCACTCATTCTCCATTCAAGACAGTTTTTCCACAATCGACCTTGTGTGTGCCTACTATCACATCCCAGTAGATGAATCAGACATTCCAAAAACAGCAGCCACAACCCCATATGGTATGTTCGAACCAATAAAATTAAAGAATAATTGAAATAACAAAAGATAACAAAATTATTATTCACTCACAAACTTATTAGTTATTAGTAATTTTAAAACTAGCCAAACTCCATCAACATGAACTGCACCTTCCATATAACTGTTCCAAACTATTCCTAATACTATTCTGAAATCTACAGCTAATCGAAAATTGTTGTGGCCCTGGAGGGGCCGTTTTTAGTCACTTTGGGCATTTTGAAGTCCCCCTTTCGACTGCAGCAATGCATATACGTCAACCAAATCGCAATTGAGTGACGCATAGCCAAAATGGATACGAATCCGAAAACAAAACACGGCTAATTCGTAGTGTTCTACGGTACTGAATTAGGGAAATCATTCCAAAAAGTACAAAAAAGCAAATCTCACATTTGCGGTCAAAAGCACTCAAGCAAGCTAGAGCCAAATATGATGTCCAGAGAGAGCCAATAAATCGTTCACTTTCTCCGATCACGCCAAATTGAAATGTGGTGGTCATTGAATCAACAGATAAAAAACAATGTGGGGTGTTTGTGATTGAGATAGGTCAGTAGAGAAGCAACACACGGATAGAGTTATGTCACATGGAATCATTGTAGATTTGGAAGGATTTTCAGAAAATATCAACATGAAATACAACTTGCCACTACACCTAGCCAGATCTCAACGCCTGTGGGAAAGAAGGGCAGATATCCCTTACCATATAGGGCAGCTGATTGAGGTAACGCATGCCAAGGACCTAGGGGTGGTCTAAAGTGACTTCAAGTCATCCAGCTAGCGCATAACGTTAGCCAATAAGGCTAGGGGAGAACTCCCTTGGATAATGGCTACAATGTTCCGCAGAGATCAGTAGGTTCTATTCTCGCTGTATACGGCTATCGTCCGTCCAAATCTGGAGTATTGTGTCCAGTCATGGGCACCATACTGACAGAATAGATCTAGATTGCCTGGAAAGAGTTCAACGGCTAGCCACGCGAATTGTATCTGGTCAGGACCACAAGGATTACGAGAACTGACTCAAGGACTGAAACTTGTCTTCCCTTTCGACGCTGATGCATGAGGGGTGACTTAATTGGAACGTTTAAAATAATGAATGGTTTGTTGGGTATCAAAAGTGAGGAACTATTCCCTGCGATCCCGGCAAGTTGCACCAGGGGGTATAGCTTTAGATTCCAGCGGAATCATAGTAGGCTGCAACTCTGGGCCAGGTTCTTCACGAACAGGCTGATCCCACTGTCGAATAGGCTGCCAGAACACGTGGCGAGATGAGGCATTGTAGTGGCAATCAAGACCGCCCTGGATGAGTGTTGGAGAACCGTCCACCCAGAAGCGGCCTACTGAGGAGTAAGGAGATAAGAAAACACTCAGGCACTCTAGCCGGTAAGGTTTGATGTTTACAGATATGGATGTAGGCTCAGATCTGTTCATTTCAGTTTACACAAGACAGAAAATGGCCACGGCCAATCGAGCGGCCAGAATTCCTTCGGTGTATGCGGTCAAGTATGGCACCCACCACTGCGAAAGGTAGTCCGTAGAAGAAGAGGAGAGATACCTAATCTCACGTCCAAGGCGAGAGATTGTTATTCGTGAGCATTCGTCTTCCAGGCTACATAACAATAAATGGCAGAAGGAAACAAATATCATGCAACTGAGTGTGCCACTCCTACTACTGGTTCTCTTAAGTCGCTAGATGGATGGTCAGACCTCCACTTCAGGAACAAGTTTAGACCACCATTCATCCAGGGTCGTCTAGCACAGTCTGCAGTTCTACTAGCTCCACCAGTATTCTGTGCCGAATGTCGCCTACTCTACTGCTAGAGAAGTATGACCGGGCAATCAATCGAGACCGAAAATTGGCAAGCTTCATTTTGTTTCCCTTTGTTTGGGAATCTAGTGCTTCCTGGAACAGGATTTCAGGTCTAATAACAGATATCATTAACTTAAATGTTTCCATCATACCTCTCCTGAGCCCTCTCTTTTCTAAAGAGAATAGTCCCAGCTCCTGAAGCCCTTGCTTGTAGCTTGCTCACCTTCAACCATTCTCGATGCCGGCCGTTGAATCCGCTCTGAACGGGCTACATCCTTTCTGAAGAAGAGTGACAGTGCCTAGACACATTACTGTAGTTGGGGCCTTAATCTGGCCTTATACAGAGATATGAATACCTCAGGTTTACGGTACGATAACTCTGACCGCAGTGTAAATAATTCACCCCCAGCTTCTTTCGCGGCTCTGGCACATTGATTCGACCACCTAAGATCAGCGATTACCAAGATTCCTAGGTCTTTTACGTTTTCCACCATCTTCATAGTGAACGG